CCACAAACCATGCATAAGTATCTTTGCTTTATAGAGAAATCATTGGAACAGGACGAATCAGACAGAGGGAAAGAAAATGAAGGTTGTAAAAAAATCTTCGTGATAAACTATATTCAGTTAATCCAACACTTTAATTTTAATCTTTTTAAATCATATTGGCGCCCAAGGACAAGATAAGTTATATTATATATATTATATATCAAGTAATGTTAAATGAATAAATTTAATTAAACGAAACGGAGAATATTTTCGGCCAAAAGAGTTATAGGTCTATAGAGTTACAACAGAACACGACAGTATATAACTGTATACGAATGAAGGGATTGAGACACCATAAACTGCAATGATACCATGACTCTGTGGCAACCAGTGTATGGTAAAAATACCATGCATTAATCTAGGTCACATAAAACCTGGCTTCTCTTTTTAGGTAAAGTTTCTAAGAGAGGTTTGGCTGCAGCTATCCCGTTAATAGAACTCGGGGTCACTGTCTTGCAGTCGGTGCTCGAGGCTCTTGGAAATATTGAAAGAAAAATTGCAATTGGTATTGGTAACAACACACCATATGAATGGAGAGCTGATGGTGTCTATTTTCGTTCTGGTACATCTGATGAATTTCTTCCTGCCTCTGTGAGTTCAGACGAAGCCGCGATATTTCCAGCAAGAAAAACAAATGGTCCAGTTGCAACAGGAGTAGTTGGCGTACTCTGTTATTACATTCCTAAAAAACAAAAATCTTTGTGTGTCATGTTCAGTGTACCATTTGATTATAATTTATACAGTAATTGGTGGGATGTGAAAATGTTCTCTGGTAAGAAGTCTCCTGACCAAGGTTTATATGAAAACATGTACTATGGCAACCCTCACAAAGGTGACAACAGGTGAGACTACTGAGAAAATACTCTAAACATTGTATATCGCAATCAATCGAACTCTAGGTACTTTGAAGTTTTTAATTCTGTTTTTAACTTGCAGATATCTATATGCGCAGAACCTTGGCCATGGTTTCATCATGGAGGAGGGCATCATGAACAGCGCAGGGACTGCTCGACTTTTGATAAAAATTGCTGAAAATAATTAAACTCAAGTCCTCAATGAAAATTCAATATATTTCATTTGTTAAAAAGGAAGAAAAACAAAACTAGAACTAACTAAAAAGACCGAGTGTACTATTTCTTGTGTAATAGAATAAAGAATGTAGTAACGAATGTGGAGAATTGTTTTGGTAAGAAGGGATGAGACAGTAAAGGTTTAAACTGACTAAACACTCTAATTGATCACTGCGTGTACCAAAAAACCAAATATTTCAGCCCCATGTATCGATTTATTGCCACGGCACGGCTAAAATGGGTGCCCAGCCTTGTTTTGGTAGCCTGAATACTCATAAAATTTGGTACGGAGGAAGGTTGAACTCTTTTTGGAACTCTGTATGTCACCATCCTTTGCATGGCATAAGAAAGCTAGTTGCATGTGTACGTTATTTTAATCAATAACATTATCACAAGTTCATAACACATTGTCATATATAGAAATCTTTTCTACAGTCAGTACTCTACAGTCAGAACTCTACAGTCAGAACTCTGCATCTTTATTCCCAAGCAAAGGTTTCTTTAAATTCAATATCGATTTTAACTTGCACTAACATAGTTATACGCAGCCATGCATGTCAAAAAGCGAAAACGTTGCTATATTAGTCATATCTATATATCATTACTAAAGTAAACGATGTTTAAAACATCACTAAATGACACCCGGCCACTGGATGACATTATGACAAATATAAAAGTATATAAGTTCTGTGCATGCACGACAATGCATTTATTTTTCCGTCCATAAAGATTATAAAGAGGCAAAGGTATTGTATTTGTTATATAGTGAAGTAGAATGATTTTTACTTTGTGCGGCAAGACTTAACAACAATTTATGTTTTAATATTTTTAGCTCAAAATGTTGATTAAAATTCTAATCGTTTTGTCTGTTTTTTGTCTCATTGGGTCAAGTGGCAACTTCATAAAGAATGTTGAGAAAGGTTAGCAATGCACCACAGTATGTTGTAGAATAATAAACATAATTCTTCTCAAAGGCTTATTAAAACCATCAATAGAAATTCCACTGAATAATATTCAAATCAAACAAGTAGTCTTTTAAGTTGGGTATAAACTGCATGCTTTGACATTGTTTATCCTTGCAGTTTCGGTTTCTTAGCATAATTTCTTGAACATGCATTCAGTATATTTAGTTCCCACCTCTAAAATACTGCAACGTACCGACCTGTCATTCACCTCGCCATTCATAACAATGTTGGTTGGGACTTGGTTGCCTTATTACCTCTTTCCAACGAGCTATGCCTCACCACAAATCTTGACTATACACTGCCACAAACCATGCATAAGTATCTTTGCTTTATAGAGAAATCATTGGAACAGGACGAATCAGACAGAGGGAAAGAAAATGAAGGTTGTAAAAAAATCTTCGTGATAAACTATATTCAGTTAATCCAACACTTTAATTTTAATCTTTTTAAATCATATTGGCGCCCAAGGACAAGATAAGTTATATTATATATATTATATATCAAGTAATGTTAAATGAATAAATTTAATTAAACGAAACGGAGAATATTTTCGGCCAAAAGAGTTATAGGTCTATAGAGTTACAACAGAACACGACAGTATATAACTGTATACGAATGAAGGGATTGAGACACCATAAACTGCAATGATACCATGACTCTGTGGCAACCAGTGTATGGTAAAAATACCATGCATTAATCTAGGTCACATAAAACCTGGCTTCTCTTTTTAGGTAAAGTTTCTAAGAGAGGTTTGGCTGCAGCTATCCCGTTAATAGAACTCGGGGTCACTGTCTTGCAGTCGGTGCTCGAGGCTCTTGGAAATATTGAAAGAAAAATTGCAATTGGTATTGGTAACAACACACCATATGAATGGAAAGCTGATGGTGTCTATTTTCGCTCTGGTACATCTGATGAATTTCTTCCTGCCTCTGTGAGTTCAGACGAAGCCGCGATATATCCAGCCAGAAAAACAAATGGTCCAGTTGCAACAGGAGTAGTTGGCGTACTCTGTTATTACATTCCTAAAAAACAAAAATCTTTGTGTGTCATGTTCAGTGTACCATTTGATTATAATTTATACAGTAATTGGTGGTAAGTGAAAATGTTCTCTGGTAGGAAGTCTCCTGACCAAGGTTTATATGAAAACATGTACTATGGCAACCCTTACAAAGGTGACAACAGGTGAGACTACTGAGAAAATACTCTAAACATTGTATATCGCAATCAATCGAACTCTAGGTACTTTGAAGTTTTTAATTCTTTTTTTAACTTGCAGCTATGTATATGCGCAGAACCTTGGCCATGGTTTCATCATGGAGGAGGGCATCATGAACAGCGCAGGGAATGCTCGACTTTTGATAAAAATTGCTGAAAACAATTAAACTCAAGTCCTCACCTCAATGAAAATTCAATATATTTCATTTGTTAAAAAGGAAGAAAAATAAAACTATAACTAACTAAACAGACCGAGTGTACTATTTCTTTTGTAATAGAATAAAGAATGTAGTAACGAATGTGGAGAATTGTTTTGGTAAGAAGGGATGAGACATCAATTAGAGTGTTTAGTAAGTTTAAACCTTTAAAAGGTTTAAACTTACTAAACACTCTAATTGATCACTGCGTGTACCAAAAAACCAAATATTTCAGCCCCATGTATCGATTTATTGCCACGGCACGGCTAAAATGGGTGCCCGGCCTTGTTTTGGTAGCCTGAATACTCATAAAATTTGGTACGGAGGAAGGTTGAACTCTTTTTGGAACTCTGTATGTCACCATCCTTTGCATGGCATAAGAAAGCTAGTTGCATGTGTACGTTATTTTAATCAATAACATTATCACAAGTTCATAACACATTGTCATATATAAAAATCTTTTGCTCTCCAATACATGTCGTTTATTCTCTGCGGCTTGTGGCCGGACCTTACATATTTTCAATGTTGCAATGTTGGTGGATGACGTTAATTACTGTTAGTGCAGAATCAAACCAACTATGTATGTGTTTAGTGTTTTTATTCTGTTATCATTCAATACAACTGACGTTTAAAGATTATCATTTTATACAGGGTGTACCAAAAACCCCCCAAAAAATTGAAATCACCCATAACATTAATGTAATAGCTAGAGTTTGAATGCTTAAGCACCCTGTTGGGACCCACAAGTGTATAATTTGTGTATAAATGTTTGACATAAGAATGTTTATGTGACAGTAGAATTTGTTTGTATACCCAAAAATGATTTTTATTACAAATACACTTTACACATATGGATAACAATATTTAAATTTACAACTCAAGCACCATGACCTTCGACATGTCCCTCTTACTGTATCTAGCAAATTTTAATTTTTTGTAGGCCTATTTGCGTTAATCCTCACGAGCAAAAATTCGCGAACAAGTCATTCAAATTTTAACAATAGTAGGTGATTTCATTAATAGCTCTGGGTTTTGGACACCCTGTATAATATGTAGAATTAAGCACGTACAACGTTGTCGTTGAATATCCTGTATATGGCATCGCCATGAGGGTATAATTTAATTCACGTTCGTCATACTTTCGCTAAAATTCCAATAGATAATAGCCTCATCATTTCAAACTACTTTTCAATTTGATATGCACGCTTTGTCACAAAAGCTATGTTGGACGAGTATTGGATTTTCATATACCTAAGCTAATCGGAATAAAGGAATTACTTGGAAACGAGAAACATTGTGGATCTACTTAGCAGATCCTAAAAGCAGTTCTTTGATGTTTTAACATTTCACATTTTCCGAATGGGTTTAATATGGAACAAGGTTTGAAATTAAAAAAATGCGGAATATAAACTACTTCAGAAGTAACTGATTAAGGTATGTAGATCGAGGGTTTCTGGTATATTACCAACGAAGAACACTTCAAAAAACGTTTACCATATATAATGTGAAATAACTTAATGTAACGATTTGTTGAAAGCATTATAGGCCGTTTCTAAATCAAACAACATTTGTCTTGCTTGATCTTCTGATAGCTCGTCGCTAGGTTTCATTTGACCCATTGTGTCAAGCCTAAATATATTACAAAAGTATTTTTACTAACTATTACTGATATAGTATGTAGTCACTTCCTGGAAGTAGTGGAAATTTGTCAGTATTGTTACGGGTGTACAACAGCGAATGCATACTTAGTTGATGACATTAGTGAAAAAGTGGATTTGGAAAAATGCATGAACACCATGGGCATGGCCAGAATATAGTAAATGAGTGAGGTGACACAGTTTAGGGAACTGCCTCATTTCTCTATTTAAAGAACCCCTTTTTAGCAATACCCTTAGCCTCTCGAACGTGCCACACCAATTGTAAAATTTGAGATTATGTTGTATCTCGTAAAATCATGCGCAGCATAATTTAACATTTGAATTAAAAATACTTCTCCATAAACCCCAGCTCCAGCCCTTATCAGTAAACAACCCTTATAAAATCATTATAAAGTGGGCATGAAGCTATTATATTATTGTGTGACCATAATTAACCCACAAGGATTTCACTTTTACTTTGCCTTCAAAATGCTCAGCAAGCTTACTTAAACTGTTCATAGTATCCATCAAATCCCTTAAGTCTGGGTGGATCTGATGAGGTAAATATTGAATCACGCATGTGAAAAAAAAAATGCATGTTGACCATATATATATACAATACCATACTGAAAACCATAGTTTATGATTTGGTGGTTATAGGAAATATAATTTAAAGAATATAGTGACCAGACACAGTTGTGTACAGCTCCAATAGTGTAAAATATATTGTGTACAAATGTATCAATCCCAATATTGACAGGAATCTTATTTTATGGCCTCGTCTGTTGCTCTTATTTGCAAACGCAGTTTATCCATTATGGTTATAAAAAGCTATAAAAAGAAATAAATAGAAAGTGCCTTAATATATGTGTGCATGGTTAACATTTTAAATAGTATGTTGCAGCATTAATACTGATTATAAAACCAGTAGCAAAATTTTAACTTTCCATAGCAAGCAAACTACGGTAGGACTATATCTAAAGTGGTAGTTTCAGCTATAATATACTGATTGGATTAATACCATAACAATGTCAGCAATACACTTGCTTGTGTTTCCTTTGTCATTCTTTATTGTTATAGGCCGATCTTCTTTGATTCTTTCTAAGGCTGCCGGACAATCCAACTAAAATATATCAAAGATGATGTAGTGGATTTAGGAGGGGAGGAGGAATTAGTGTATTTCACTGCAATTAACAATTCTAGTCATTCTAGTCAACTATACAGGGTGTATCAAAAAAAATGTCCCAAATGTAAAATTTCCGTTTTTCAGGATATTTTGCAGAATTTGGCAATTTTTTGTGTTCCTAGAGATAGTTAAGACTTATCTGGTATACCTAGGCCAAGTTTGGTTTTTCATTAACAAAATTATTTTACCGGGGGGGTGGTTCCTTTCCAGCGATATTGAGAGGGCTTGCGCGCGAAAATGTGAAGCTGAAATTGAGATATTATTTAGCTGTCTAAAAGTAGGAAAGCTTTTTAATAAACTGTCAAAGTTTCAGGAAAAATAATGCAAACTGGGAGCAACGCGCGACCCCTAAAAGTGACAAATATTTCATTGCGCGCAGTGGATTAAATGCATCGTTGATTTTAGCGTGACCGATCTCATGCAAGGCTGGGCAAATGAATAAATTAAAGCGAGAAACTGAACAAGAAGACGAGGCGATTTAATAACAAGGTTTTTATTCTTGATGTTAATCCTCAACATTTCCACCATTTCTTTCTAAGCAAACTGCGGCTCGTCTGAGCATAGTAAACACTGAACGGCGAACCACATTTGTCTCTCCTGCCTCAAATGATGCATTTCGTTCGAAATTCTTTCCTGCAAATCGCCTATACGCTACCACCGGCAATGGTGAGACAAATCTAGGCGAATGGACAGACAAATGGTTCGCTGTTCAGTGTTTAGTATGCTCAGACAAGCCGCAGTTTACTTAGAATGAAATGGTGGACATGCTGAGGATTAACATCACGAATAAATCGCTTTGTTTTTGTGTTCAGTTTCTCGCTTTAATTTATTCATTTGCCCACCTTGTATGAGATCGGTCACGCTAAAATCAACGATGCATTTAATCCACTGCGCGCAATGAAATATTTGTCACCTTTAGGGGTCGCGCGTTGCTCCCAGTATGCATTATTTTTCCTGAAACTTTGACAGTTTATTAAAAAGCTTTCCTACTTTTAGACATCTAAATAATATCTCAATTTCAGCTTCACACTTTTGCGCGCAAGCCCTCGCAATATCAGTGGAAAGGAACCACCCCCCCGGTAACATAATTTTGTTAATGAAAAACCAAACTTGGCCTAGGTATACCAGATAAGTCTTAACTATCTCTAGGAACAGAAAAATTTGCCAAATTCTGCAAAATATCCCGAAAAACGGAATTTTTACATTTGGGACATTTTTTTTGATACACCCTGTATAAGCAATCACAGGGTAACTAACCTTTTATAGTGGTGTTTTAATTAAACAGATGTTGGCGCTAATTTAATTTGTGAATGGATCATTAACAATGATAAATGAGCAACAAATGACAGTACCAATGACACTTAACAAAATTATCTGCTCTAAAAACATCGCATGCGTGATTTAGTTTTGCGAAAACAATTAAATATGGGTTATTGGAATCAATATTATGAAAATTCCATATCTGATCATTTCCCAAATACATCATATCTATATTGTAGTAACCCAAGAATTGGTCAGGGAATATACCATTAATAACCCCACATATGTATATAGAATTAAAGACTATAGATGTGTTAATGTCATTTACTATTTTACTATAGATGTGTTAAGTATCATCACTTTGAACTTGTTTGAATGCTGCTTTGTATTAAACAAGCTAGCAATTTGGAACAAGCAGCAGTGTATCTTAAGAAAAAATTCAAATATGGATCTTGTGAGCACGTAACTGTATATTAAATAATAAAAAATACATTACACATATATTTATGCTATACAGAATTAATTGTTAAATATTATTGTCTGGCTGCATGTTAGCTATATCAATGCAGAAGCTTAAATTTAATATGGTATGCACATTATTGTACATACTCTTTTGGTGTGACTGCATCCTTGATATAAGCTTTCTCTAATGCCTGCAAAGTATTGATAACTGCAAAAAAATCAGCTAAATTGTCATACCTAAAAAAAGTAAATGGAACTTAATCATAACGTTTGGAAAATTAGAGACACTAGCTTGAACAGCTACGTACATATAGTCTCAGGGACGTAGCATATTAGGTTGAAAGGCAGCTATGATGTTGATATGTCATAACATAAAATTGGCAGACATGTAAATATGTTTTGACCATCCATAGCTAAGATTTCAGCATAGCTATATATATACTTCTTACAACAATTTTATATTTTTAGCCATTTTAATAACACTGTTACTAAATAAGGGAAAGCAATTTCTCGAATAAAATATAAGATATTTTTACTTTTCTCGTTCTCGTCCGCTTTTATAAAGCTTTACCTCCTGTAAATATAAAAATGTACCTTTATCAAAGTGCTAAATAGTTTTCAACAAAAAAGGAAAACATTTTTACGAGCATATTTTATTTTTACCTCATAAAGTTCAGGTCTGTTCGCTATAGAAAAACCCCAGAAGATATATTAATTATAAACTGAACATCCCCATTACAAAACTAGGGTTCCATTTCGAATACTTACCTCTTCGAGACTACATATGAAGATCGGTTAGCAGAAACACCTTGAAACATCATTTTTATGATACGTTTTGTTTCGAGTTTTGTTTACGTTTTATATCCTCTGTATTTCTGAGCTTCGGATTACGTAAAAAAGTATCCTCGGCCCACTGACTTATTACTGAATACTGTATAACAGGTCACTGCAGAGAGGTCTCTGGTTCTGGTTACATTAGTTCATTGGAAATTTGGAAAAGTACCCTTGCGATCACTGCGATGGTTGAGGGGATAAAACAGTTCACTGGGAAAAACAAAACTAGGTTCAGCTACAGATGAGGGGGTAAAACACGAATGAGGATAAAAGTGAAATGGGCGCACTTACTAGGGACCGACTAGGGAGATTCAGCGCGAGAACGACAGGACGTGAACGTCAAAGATGACGTGAAAATAACGAATAAATCGCGTGACCATATATATCTCGCCATTTCCCCGGCCTATTTGACATGCACATCCTGTGCTAAATGCTAATCTGCCTAGTAACCATGCCCACTGAGTCTGCGCAATGGCCTGCCCGCAGGCCGCAGACTCTGTAGAGATCACGGGAATTTTTGCAGTATCGATACCAAATTTTATTTATACGAGCGCCGCGAAGCGGCGCGCCCATATAATCATAATTATACGGGCGCGCTGCTTCGCGGCGCTGGTATAATCAAAATTATACTTCACACTCTCCGGTCGTCAACTGTTTTTTTTTTCTACAATGTCAATAACAATAACTTTAACATTAACAACCATTGTAACTTCTACTTTTGTGATAATACAGTGGTCCGATAAGTGACTGACAGAGTAGGCTTATAATAGAAACGATTAAATGTTGACGGACTAGTCCAGTCTGCCATATCTAATATCATATCGATGCTTAGACCAGCCTGTTTTGCAGTTGAGGTAGACGCACTTCGAACAGAATGTCCGCCAAAATTGTCTCCAATGCCCGATTGCCGGATAACCTCTTTTAACCATCGAGAAAGTGTAGCGGTCGTCACAGGTTTATGTGGTTTCTGGAAAGAGAGGAATAAGCGCTGTTGCATGTTGTCGGTCTTGGATTTTCGCCAATCTTTTGTTTTCTCTAAGTATGCGGAAAGGCACGCAACTGGACAACGCAAATTTTCGGCAAATTTAGGATAAACGGATTCTCCAAGTTTGCCAGTATGCGAACGCTTTCGCCAAACTGTGTGTTGGAACTTTACACCTTCTGGGAAATAACGCATGTATCTTATGTCTAAAGATGTCATAATGGAACCCCGTTCCGGACAGGTCAATGCCATCAGTATACAAAATTTTTGTGACAGTTGCTTTACAGATAACGTGGAATTCTCTCCCAAGTTACCCAGGTAATTTGTAAATGTCTTAACGTTCCAGGTATGCTGATACCGAGGTTGAGGGTGCCGGGATATCGAGACTCCCTTCATTAACCGAACAACCAACGGGTGTTGACCAATTGGCTTATTATCAACGGGAACATGTGCTGACGAAATAGCCGATCGAAGTACATTAATAGTTCTGTACTGCTTCCCTTCCGAAAACTGTTCTGCCAAAAACGTTAAGACCTCAGAGACTGGACAATGTACGGGATCACTTTCCCGTCCTTCACACCAGCTACGCCATTGAGACCAGGAACAGTTGTATGTCTTGGTGGATGAGGTCTTAACGTTGTTGCAGAGCAGATCAATAGCCGTTGATGAAATGCCCGCTGTTTCGAACTGTCTCCTGATACTCTCCACACGGCTAGTTTTAGAGCTGGGAACAGGAGATGAATTGTTTCCGGATTGGACATGTTTTTCAGAGGATTTGGGTCGGTCCCCAGATATATTGGATAGTCTATCACAAGATCTACCAACAAGGGCCACCAAGGTTGTGCCGACGATAGAGGGGCGATCAGTACTAACGTTGCTTTCTCTTTCCTGGTTTTGTGAAGGACCGCTGGAATTAAGTTGAATGGTGGGAATGCGTACGCTATCAAATCCGCCCATGCAATCCATCGTGAACGCGTCTGTATGATTCGCATACGGATCCGGCCGCCAACTGACGTATCGGCTGAGTTGATGGGTCATTCGAGATGCAAAGAGATCTACTTGACAGTCTTTGATTAGGTGTTTGATCATCCTCGGATCGATTTTCCAGTCGTTTATGTCCCTGATCGTTCGTGACTCCTCGTCTGCGACAACATTGTTCTTCCCCGGAACATGTTGAGCTAGTAAAAATAGATGTTTTGTCTCGCACCATTTCCATATCTCCAATGTTAGATTCAGCAATTGAAGGGAGTGAGTCCCCCCCTTGTTGTTTAAATAAGCGACCGCTGTCGAGTTGTCTATCTTTAGGCAAATTACCTTGTTGTACTGATCTTTCATGAACGATTTTAGGGCGAAGAAGGCGGCTCGAAGGTCCAGAATGTTTATGTGCTCCTGAGACTCGAGGTTGCTCCATAATCCGCCTGTCCGCATTTCTCCCCAGGCTGCTCCCCAGCCTAGCTTGGAGGCATCTGACGAGATTGTCAGATCGGCTGTTGGGGGCAGTATGGGACTTCCCCCTAACGATGGTAGATTGGCTATCCACCAATCTCGCTCCTGCCCGGTTCAGGGACTCTATTTGTAAAAGTTGGAGATGACGATAGTGTAGAGGTGCCGACCAAATCGCCGGACGAGTGAATTCTGGTAGTCCTATGGCCCGAGCTAATTGCCTGATGGTCGGTTGTGGGGGTCTTCAAAAGATCCCGACACTCTCGTATAATAATTTCCGATTTTTCTTTTGGTAAGATAAACTCCATCGTCAATGAATCTATGAGCATCCCCAGAAAGAGGATCCTCTGAGTAGGAATTAGAGTTGATTTTTGATGATTGATTAAAAAACCTGGCGACTCTAGGAGAGTTACTGTCATACGTGCGTGTTGATTTAGCGTTCCAATTGATGGCACTAGCATGAGTATATCGTCTAGAAAGATAATCATTCGAACACCTTGGCCTCGCAGCCAAGCTATCACCGGTTTCATGAGTTTTGTAAACACCCTTGGCGCTACATTTTGGCCGAAGGGCATTGTAACGAATTGGTAAGAGATTCCTTGCCAGAGGAAGAGGAGAAATCTCTGTGAGTCTGGGTGCATCGGAACGGTTAGATATGCATCCGTTAGATCGATAGTTATCATAAAGTCTCCCTTGTTCATTAGGGTTTTTAATGTCATAAGATTTTCCATTTTGAAATGCTCTGTCTGTATAAATTTGTTGAGAGGACTTAGGTCTAAAACTGGGCGTTGTCCGCCACCTTTCTTGGCAACTAAAAACATTGTGATAAAACGCTTGTTTGTTGAAATTGACACGCTTGATCGCGACTTTGTGTAATAAAGTGTTGATTTCCTCGTCCACTAATTTGGAGTTTTGCAACGACGGTCGAGGAAGAGTTTTTTTGAAAAGGGCGACTTAGAAAATGAATCTGATAACCCCGAACAATAGCTAAAATGGTGGGGTCTTGCGTTATATTTAACCAGTTTTTCTCGAAGTGAGGAAGACGACCTCTTAACGGGGGCCGTTGTTTTGCTTGCCTCGAAAGGGCGGTGGCTGAAATTCAAATCTGTTCTTCGTTTGATTTGAATAACGATTTGAAGTAAAAGGGGTTGGATGAAATTTTTCGTTTTTTGTCTGGTACTTTTTGAATTGAGGTTTGGTCCAAGAGGAAGACTGAGGACGCTGCTGATGGAGATTTTTTTGTAGGTTGCGAACAATTTCTGCGCTATCCGCTGCAATTTTTGTGATGTCACTTCCGAATAGTTGCTTTCCTGCGTTAGGAAAGGCGGCTTCTGCCAGCGAAATTTTGGCCGGGTTTATTGCATAAAGAATTTTAGATCTGCGCAACACCGAAAGAGAATTAGTTGCATTCCCGAGCAAACAGATAGCCCGTTCAACAAGACTTAGTATTTCGGCTTGTGATAAGCTTTGTTTACTTTCGAGCATATCGTGGAGTGCTGTTAATGGAGCCACCACGTTCAAAACATGCCGCTGAACTTTTATTAGTTCTTTATCACGGTTCTAAACCGACTTCTTATAATTTTGTGGGATTTGATCTGCGATGGCTTTATCAAGCTTCGGAGTGGTAAACGCATCTATATCGGGGAGAGATGTTTCTTCCAAAATAGTAAAAATTTGGGACGAGGACAGGCTACGTCTAAAATTCGTCTCTAAGAACTCTTTAAATGTTGCCGACGGCTCCCAACTAGGTGCTTGGGCAACAGGGTCAAATAGTAGATGCTTCGCATTATCCTGATTCCGTTGATCTTCATTATCGGGAAGGTCCTTCCAACCATCGGTATCGTCCATGCTGGCTTCAGCTGGGCCAGAGTTGTCATTAATATGATTTTGGGTGAGCGATTTGCTCGTTAAGTTGCCAACTTTGTGGCTAGCATTGGGGTCCAGGTTTGCTGGACTATCTATGTCTAGATCTTGTGGAATCACAATGGAAAGTTGATCCGAAACATCCGTTGGCGGTTCAAGGCATGTGTCATTCTGATCGACTGCCATATTTGTATGTTCATTGACCGGCTGTGCCTGTGTGGATTCGAGGCATGTCATACGTTGATTAAGATGTTCTTAGACGCCGACATCTTTCCTAGAAGATTTTCTAGTATCGGGGAGTTCTTTTCTCCGTGATTTGCTTGTGAGTTCGAACGATGCCACTTCGCCTTCGCAGATCTTTCTGATCGCTTTCCGATCTTGAACGTTTTTTGCTAGCACTCATCCTATTTCCTACTCCACTCTCCCACTCCATCCTGCGGCGTTTATTCGAGTAATTACGGTAAGACAAATTCTGCGAGTCACATCCCGTGTTATTGTATTTTTCAAGATTATCAAGACGAGAAAACAAGATTGCAACCGCAACGTTGTTACTGCCATACGAGTTAACTTGATGATAGTAACCTAACAACAGACAGAACAGACATCATTCACAGCACTATTTTATATTAGTATACATCCGACTATTGTCTAATACAAATCCTACATTCTGATTGGCTACTCATTGTCTATTCGTGATGGTGAACGTTTGGGAGAAATTCGCTCGCTCGACCGTATAAAATTGAATTTCATTGCATTTTTATTTCAAATACAACTATTCGCCATTGGGTTGCCTACTGTTATGCGATGACTACAGCTGACAATAGCCATCCCCATGCAATGAATTACGATATAGCTATGAAACCCAGGCTTGATCAAAAGATAAATTTGTTAAAAATTTACTATGTAGCTATCGTGTTGTGTGTATAATAGCTATACACTGACAGTACTTGTAATCAATCTTCGTACCCAGGTCTTTTCGTGTATACATTTTGTTAATTTGTATTAACAACTCAGGTAATATATTATCACAACTAATAGATAATGACTTACTTTTCGGGAGGAATAAACAATCACCAGCATTCACAGTGACAAATGACCAAGGTACGTCTTTAACTTTGGGATATTTGATTAAATCAACAGAATCAACTTGAAGCAATGAATATCCTCCAACCTCGTACTCAGGCTCCCACGCTTTGTATATCTTTTTCTCATATTTATATTCGATCATTTTCCATTCTTTAGTGCCATTATAAAGACAATTGATTGCGTTAAATGCGTCCTAAAACAGGGGAAAGACATTTTAAAACTAAATTTTCTGAAATTTCTTGGAATAAAGTTTATAACGAACCTCTAAAGAAGCCTTAAATTGTACTTTTACCATTGTTAACTCATCACTACAACCCCAATGATTGTGGCGGTATATTATTAAGTAGCACGCGCCACAATTATTGAGCAACACAATTGGTTAACTGCTACTAGTGAATGGCTAATTGAGAGAAAGAGGGAATTTAAAGGGACAAGCCGATGAAAAAATAACGATGGTTTTTCCCGTGTCTTAAAACGAACTTGAAAAAACATTCTTTCTTACTTTTCATTTTCGTTTAGCCATTTACAGTTTTAGTGCAGGTAATAAGTATTCACACATGATTATACTGTGTGACTTACCAGTCAATGACATGTTAAATGACTTTCAGACTAATCAACATGATGAACTGGCTTATCAGTCATAACTGTGGCTAGTCAATAACATGTTAAGTGGTTTTGAGACCCTAATTATATTTGACATGATGAACTAGCTTAATTATCATCACAGTGGCAAGACTAGATTGCATCTTCTCTGATTGTATCTTCTCTGTACTGTAAATCATGATTGATATAAACAAGGATTACCTTATGTAAGAGAATCTTGCTTCCTCCACCACTCATCCATAAATCAATCTCAACAATACGATCAGAAAATGTTCCACATGTTAAACATGGCTGCACAAGGATGTCAGACCACATTGGTGTTGGTAATTCTGACACAATATAACTGTTTACATCATGATAAGTATCCACAAAGTGGGCTGGATCGAAAGAAGAACAATAATTGACTATTGAATATAACTTTATTTTATGGTACATAATCATGATATTAATTTTCTTTAAGTCTAATATTGTAGCTCGATCAAATCAGAATATCAACATTTGCATCACATATTTTCAATCTTGTGTATAATTTATTTTTTGTGTAAGAAAAGGATATTCTGGGCTTAATTTTCACAATTATAAGTCTAAGTGGAATAAAGTTAGTCACAGTAAACCATGTTACATAATTCCCTACAGTAAGTATGTTGAATCACTTTTCTAAAAAAACTTTAGGAGTCAATTCAATAAAAAAATTAGCATGGTTTCAATGCCATCAATAGCTAAACGGAAGTGGTTGATGTTATATGTACAATATTTCTATGTGCATGTTTTCGGTCTGGACTATTTCTTATTTGTGAAAACTATTTCTTGTCTAATGTTAAAACTTCAATCTTGTATTAACAAGGCTTTGGTGTTTAATAGGAGGATAACCATATTATAAAGCACGAATTTTAATCTGCCTTGCAATACATTCCAAAGATTCCAAAGTTGAAACATACATGTACCTCAAGATTTAAGGCCATGAAGTTAGCTTATCAATTCAAATTTCATAACTGTGAGTATTTCTTTGTAAAACCTTGAAATTTCTTTCATATTTTAGTGCAGAATAACATGTTTGATCATCACCTACCTATGGTATCCCTTCCTAATCCCTTAGCACCAATTGGTACTCCTCCAGATTTTTCACCCTTATTTTCCAATCTAACTTCCAAATCTCCATAATTCTGTTTTAAATATTCATCAGTCCACGACGTGAATGCCTCAGAGTGTTTCGCAGCTCCTCTAAAAACCACAGGCTTGGAGATTTTAACATAGTCAGTCCAAAACTCGAGAGGTGAAGGTACATCAAAGCGTTCATCAATACTTTCTGGTGATCGATGTGATCCAAGCGGCTTTAAATGACCTTTTGGAAAAGTTTTATCAGCAATATTTATTTGTAAACAAAGTATCTTGAATGTTATAAGGTTGCTTAGTATCTTGTATAATATCATTATCGCTTTTTCTTTGCTTTCTTTGCTTTCATATCAAAGACGATACAGATTATAATATCCTTTTATTGTTTTTAAATTTATTTTTAAAATTGTTTGCATAGCCGCTAAATCACATCTACTAGAAGTAGAATATAGAAACTGAGCTGAGTTTGACCTGGATAGTTAGGCTGCGTTCAAACTGGGTGCCGGTAACTTTTTCTGAAAATGACGCTTCCAAATAAAACGGGCACCGATGCTGCATCAAGAACGAGCACTGCCTCAAATGGTGCTACTTAACAAGGACACTGTGTTCAGCACGTTTAATGAACCAGTTTTGCCCACTGCGTCTGAACGCAGTCATAGTTACTAACATGGGACTGTCAGTTTCTACATAGCTCCAATTAATAAGCAGAGTGACGTTCCTCGTTCTGAAATGAAATCGCCTTTATTATTTTTTAGCCACCTAATTCATCTGCAGTGGAATTTTAACACGAAGCATGCATGGGAAACGTTGTCACAAAATTGTTTGCACCCGTTGTTCCCGAAAAACGATTTTAAAAAATTACTATATAAATTATTATATGCATAATAATTACACCAGCCATGTCGATTATTTTTTGATCGATTTTCAATTGAAGATCGTTAATTCTTATTGAAGAGAAATTAATGTAGCGAACTGCCGAATTCGATAAAACTTCACTTGACAGTTTGCGCAAAATGTTTGAATAAAATTGCAAATCATATATAAAGAAGCCAAACACAATAGTTATAAAAGACGGCGTATAATCTTTACATGATCTTAATGATACCATGGTCTTAATCAGTTTGACCATAGGCAGCCCAGACATGTTTTCGTTCTCGTGGCGCTCGCGCGTGTACACGAGTCTACTTGGTCTATTATTATGAAAAGATTAGCAAGTTTTTTTACTAAAATATACTACAACGTTTGCTACGGCCTGAATATCTTGCAAATTACAAATAAGAATAATATAAAAATTACATCGGTTTAAACGCCAGTAATTTGACTACATTCTTCCGAAGTTTTAACTTCAAACGTTAATTTTAAGGATGATAAAAAAGCAAATGTGTTTTCGATATTTTGACAAAATTTTGTCAAGATTATGCTAGTGGCACCTACACTGTGGTGTCGTCATCATTTAGATTTGCAAACAGAAAACTGTTTGGCTCTTGCGTGCGAAATTTCCTGCTGAAAAAACGACAACCAATCAGTTTCTTGTTTGCAAATCTAAATGATGACGACACCACAGTGTAGGTGCCACTAGCATAATCTTGACAAAATTTTGTCAAAATATCGATACACATTTGCTTCTTTAGCATCCTTAAAATCAACGCTTGAAGTTAAAACGTCGGGAGAATGTAGTCAAATTACCGGCGTTTAAACTGATGTAATTTTTATATCATTTTTATTTGTAATTTGCAAGATATTCAGGCCGTAGCAAACGTTGTAGTATATTTCAGTAAAAAAAGCTTGCCAATCTTTTCATAATAATGGACCAAGTAGACTCGTGTACACGCGCGAGCGGCACGAGAACGAAAACATGTCTGGGCTGCCTATGGTTTAACCGTCGAAATGTCATTAAGGTTGTCGTAAATAAGTCAATCATGCAGTGACAATTCCTTTTTTTTCAATGGCGAGTATATTGTAATAAAGTTTGTCAGATATTCCCAATGATTGTGTAGCGAAACTGCTGTTATCCAAATCTCATTATTGAACGCAATCTTTCCGAACAAAATTTCCTGAGGCCACGTGCATGTTTTTCTAAGGCCACACGCCCCCCCTTTTTTTCTTGGTGATTATAACTGACAAACCGCTTCCTTTATAATTGCCTCCCTTACGACGGTTTTTGTTGTAAATTGCGTACATTTACTTCGTAATACGAATTCTTAATAAAAGACAACTTCAAATGGGCCGTTAACATTAGCATTTGTTTCCATACCGGAGGAATCGCAGGCTCGGAGAACGAGATTGCACAATTCATACAATGGAAGACAGGCCCTGGGTACGAAGGTTGAAAAATTGGCCGTAGATAAAGTGCCAAAAAAGAGGCGTTAATATTCAATAATTTATGCAACCTCCACTTAAATAATTTATTTGTTGTTGAGTGCTACTAACATGCATATTAGTATTTTACTACTGTTCGTGGCCATGCAGTTTCTACGCAAATTAAACCAACTGTTGAAATAAAGTCCTGAAATAATTTCCAATATATCTTATTCAGAGTTGTGGTAAGTCATTTTAAACATAAAATTTTGTTTCTATAATGACTTTTTTTCGTAAAATGCGGTCAAATGTTAAGTTGTTTTAGCAGTTTGTAGGTTATAGATGCCCTTTGATAACAGAAACTTAGTAATTCTGAGACTGAAATGAAATTGGTCGGCTGTTTGAAATTGTTGCCAGGGATTACCGTGCAATTAATACTCACACGAAATTCAGGCTATTTTATATCGACGAAGTATTCAATATTTTTCTTAGTTTTAGATTATTTCAAGCAGTTTAGAAATTTAATGTGTGAAATAAGAGCACTAAGTTGCCTAGCGCCATTAGAGAAAAATAAATAAACTGAATGAATTAAAGCAAACTACCTGCTTACGCAAATGAATGTCAGTCACGAGTTTGGCTCATTCGTGTTGCGCAATTAATCTCCATCTCGGCTAAACTGGCATTTGAAAAATTTCTGCTATTGCAGTATCGTTATAATATATGTTTAATTATTCTCCCCACGCGGCAAAAATCTCTGGCTCTCCTGCATGGTCTTATCCGCATTGCCTCAATTCCTGATCCTTGCAGGAGACGGTCACTCTGCATGTTGCTGACTTTGTAGGGGTTGACAGTAACTGTTGCCTCCTTCCCGAGTTTCCTGAACATAAATATGTGTTGTTTTAAAAATATGTGTTAATAAAATTAATATCGTTCTGTTTGATAAAAATAGACGAGCGAGGAGAATTATTTCGTGTAACCAAAATTATCCAATGAAATTGCGCATGATTCACTGTGTTTAGATGCTCAGAGAATAAATTTTATATAGAGCTTCAGGAAAGGTTTGCATGCATGCTTGACTGTCAATATCTACGATCATTGCATTACATGATGTTATGTTGCTGTCAAAAGCTAAAAATTCATAAATCCTATTGAATGCATGCCTGCCTTACAGTTTTCACGCAGTTGTAATGATTCAAATAACTAACTCAATAACTAACAATTTATATTGTTCGAAGACATGCATAGAAAAGAATAAAGATAGCGTCGAAAATCCACTTTTTGTGCTTTAGCTCGCAATGTATATTTGCATTGCTTTTTTGTCTAGTTATTATCGCAAAAATACAATATTAAGACACTTCAAACTCGTCTTCACACTATTATGCGGAAACTGTCGTACCACGTGCACAATCATGGAGTGACAGATTTTTAACCTGAAAAACTTTCATCACAACACATATACAATGGAAAACATGTCCTGAGAACGAAGTTTAAAGAATTGGCAGATGGAGCGTTTTTAATTTAATTTAATTTTCGGAGCTACGACTGTCCATAAACTGCCAAATAAGAGACGTTAATATTTAACATGCAGCTTGCTGTTGAGTGCTACTAACATGCAAATTAGTATTTTACTACTATTCGTCCATACAGTTTCTACGGAAACCAGCTGTTTCAAGTGTGTCTGCGTCTGTTCAATTAAGTTTAGATTGCAGTTGGGGTAAGAATATGTTCAATACATGAAGATTCTGGTCCTATTTTAACAATATCGCCGTTTAACAAGATGATGTGGTCGAGTATGGGCGCTTTGACTCGTCGTAGTTTGCACAGGATCGAAGATTTAATATAATTATATAAGCGCGAATTCCAAAGGCAAAGTGTAAGACAAAGCGAATGTATCATACCGTTTATTTACATTTTTGAACAATTAAACTTCTATACATTTTAAAGTACGATGTGTTTCTGAATTTCGCAACCCAACATTTAGGTTAGCAAGGGATCTAAATGCGAATATGAACTGTATTGTTTATGTTCAGAAGTTCTATATTGAAGACTGGCACGCCAGAACAGGCGTCTTGTTACTAGAAATACATGCATGCAGGGTTGCCCTCGCCAATCGCCATTTCAAACGACGCAAATTTTTTCCTGAGCTAGCCAGACCTCAATATAATAGCGGATGTTTCACATTGTTGTTTCTCATTACCTGCTGCATGCGTTGCATGCAGTTATAGTCATTTAGGAAATAGAAAACATTTTCCGTGTTTCTATACAGTTATATAGAAACATAATGCAGCAGGCAAACAGGTGATTTCTGTTCACCTTTACGACTGTCTTTGTTTTCGAAAAATTTGCACGAGTTATTTCATAATATTATACTAAAGGCTCGGTCCATGCAAGCGAAAAAAGAACTCGACCATGCAGTATCCCCCTGTACGGACCGAACAAGCTCAGTCAATAACATATATATACTATAATACTATAAGTATATATTATATATTCGATGAACTTTAGTAAACTTATAGATTCACATGCACGAGTAAGCAATTAGCTATCCACAGCTTATCCCACAAACGCATAACGTTAACCTTAACGCAAAACCGTCAACGATACCTCAAACTCCTCCCAGTCCAACAATTTTTCAATCTAAAAGCGTCCGCTTTCTATACTTACCAATGTAAGTTGATTACGTCGTTATAGCAACTTAATTGTATTTTCAAATTTTTATGAAACACATTTCTATTCCTCTTTTTCTTGGTCATAACTCGTATATGAAAAATATTCTCCAGAATTACCGAGTCAGAGAAGAGACGATTTAAACGATGTTTGTAGCGGCCAGCTTGAGCTTTCTGTTGCTTGCTATTGGAAACATTTCAGCAAACCAATGTTCCCCGACGAATTACGACACAATCATAAGAGGTGAGTATTGTCGAAAAAAAATGAGAGAAAAATATTGTCGTGAAACACCATTTAAATGTTTCATCTGGTGAAATCATGCAGCACGAATAAAACACACAATTTTAGTTGAAATTTGAACATTAATTTGACATTCAAGGATTTTGTTAAATTTTTAGGAGGTCCATCATTGCCTGCGGATGAAATAATATCAAGACACAATGTTACATCTTCAGTTGTTATGTTAGGATGTCACACTCACTGCAAAGACGAAGACAAATGTGTTGGATTCAACTACAGAACAACAAAAAATGTCGAAAATTGTCAACTTACCAACGTTACTAGAAAGAAAGAAGAAGCGAAAACGGGAGATTGGATATTGATGCAAGATGTTGAAGCGGTAAGGCTTCCAAGACTTTTTGCTAACATTTACATACACATTCATATATTTATTCGGGATTCGGACATTATTATTCAACTACAAAATCTGCTCTGATTGCTTTATCATCTGCATAGTGAATTGCTGTTAGGTTTGTTTCATCATCTGCAGAGTTTCGATGTGTTGCCCTTGTTGCATTTCTCTATATGCTCTCTTCTCTTCCTGTTTTGCCTCTTTTGCTCTTTCTCCATCTCTTTTGCTCTTTCTCCATCTCCTTTGTCGTAGCCATTCCAACATGTCACCTGATCTCCTTCTCTTCTGTAACTGTCCAACATTTTCACTTGTCCCTGCATTTTCGCAATTCCCTCCATTGCTCTTTCTCTCATCGCTCTTTCTCCCCTTTCTTGTTCAATCTGAATTTTTACTTCATTTTCACTCACTGTCCGGTTCAATTGTCTCGAGATGAGAACATTTTTTGTCGGCAGCGCAGCTATCTCTCCTCAATAATTGACACCGCCTTATCTAAGCTTCCGACGTTTCCTGCTTAGACACCCTTAGAGACCCTGCCTCTACCACCTGTAGCATTAATTCTACCGCCTTAGTTCTAACACATCATCCCTTCAATTTTGCTGTTAGGGATGTCAACTTAGGAATTTTGATATCTTGCAGAATGATCCCGAGAGATCTTCCATTTTCACCGATAATCCCTTAGTCTGTTTTTGGCAAAACAAAAATATCCGGGACACATTGGTTCACAGATCTTTACAGCAAAACTGTTCAGAACCTAATGGCACATTCCCTTATGGCATTATCGAATGTAAAACATGCTCAGTTACCGATTCTGGCACTGTTATTTCGGCTCTCAATTCACAGTTTTTCATCAGGCACCATTTCACATGCCTTTCTATGAACCTCATTTATTGCATCTCATCAGTGCATCTCATGCAACAAATGTGGTTTACTATATATCGGTGAAACTGGAAGATCTCTAAGAGTAAGGTTTGGTAAACACAGTAGGTCCGTCAACAACCACGATTACACCAAGCCTGTTGCCAGACACTTTACCTCTGGTAAACATTGTGTCACGGAAATGAGAATTAGAGCCCTCTGTCCCATTTCCGGTACTATAACGATAGCCGTAAACGACAAGAAATGCGACTCATCCAGTCTTTGCACTATCCATCACTCCAGCATAAACGAGACTCTCCTTCATTTAAGCTCATTCACCCAGAGTAATATGACTTCCATTGTTAATGAAGTAATATGACTTCCAATATGTTTTCGTTGCTGATCAGGCTTCCTTCATTGGGAGCTATTCTTAGCCCACAATCAGTCGTCTCTTTGGCAATGTAATGTATTCCAATTTGTTTTGATTTTTTGTTTTCTATTGTCCGGTTTTTATCACGTGTTTTGCCTCCATACAAAACATGTACTCTCTATATATTTTCATACGAGCTCTCCTGACAAAGGCTCTCAGGTCGAAACGTCGAAAAGTGTTTTCTCTATTTTAGGCAGTTGTTATACCACATTTGATGCTATATGTTTTGGCTACCTTTTCCTTGAGCATTCCGTTTTTTCTCCCATTTTGCTTTCTAAATGACTAACACTGAATCTACAAAGATCTATATAAAAAGCTTTGGCAATACTTGCTATATTATTACATATTTTTAAAATAAATTTACATAAATTGACCTTAGTGGAAGCGACGGTACCTTTATTCGAGAAAAAAACATAAAAAACCCTCGACGTCTTAGACACGACGTGAAATGTTGTGCGGTTTTAGCAGTATTTTTGTTCTGCGAACAAGGCTAGGATTGCTGGCATCAAGCATCCCTAGTACAAGCCGATGTACGAATTTCAGAAATCGGTATATTTGTAAACAAAGTATATTGACCGGTCAATTTCGTTCACCTAATTAAATCATTCAAATTCAAATTCTGTGGGTCTTTACGTCTTTGACGATCAGAGAATTTCAGAGTAGCAACGACGTCAAAGAGAACAGAAGTGCATGATTTACTAGTTTTCCTCACTTTACTGAGTATTTTATGTACAATTAATGCATGGTTAAAAAGGAGTAGTTAAACAATTTTGTTAACAATATTTGATGTCAGACCCTCGACGGTCGCCTATGGGAAAGATCCTGCCGATTTACATTCAGTTAATCACAGTAACTGCGCCAGATCGGGGACCCGCAACGTGCAACTTTCAATTGCGCGAGAGAAAAATTGTTCTTATTAAAATGTTAGAAAATATTTTCTCTATGTCTGCAATCTTTGGATCACTCTGCATGTATATAAGTGCCAAAATACAACCTTTTCCTCTCTTAAGAAATATACTGTATCTCATTGTTTCTTTTGCCTATACGTACAAAATTCGACATTGAAGAAATAAAGAAATTAAAAATTATAAAGAATAAAGAAAAAAAAAGAGTCGAAATTTTCATGATACTGTTGTATTAGTGTACATAATGTAGTGATATATTGATTAATGTATACAAATTAAAATCAACATCTAATTAACTTCAGTATTGTTGTTTTAATAATTTTGTATAGGCAAAGAATAGAGTTGAGAAAGAAAAGCTTACCAGGAAATCAGGTGATTTGCTTTAGAATTATCACAAATAACGTAACTATAGATTTCGGAACATTCAGAATATCATTCCGTACAAAACTACGAGAATTTTAATAATAACTAAATTAATTGATTAACTATTATGCAATGAGAAATATTTTAAATTATCCGTGAATATGCGCCACATTAATGCAATACATACCAATGAACCTCAGGATCTCTTTCGACAAATTTTGATTGGGGTGGGGACCTTAACCTTAACCCTTATCCAAAACGAAACATTCGCTAGCAAAGTAGAAATGTTGATCCAGCCCGAAGGTGCTGCTTGAAAAATTTGTGAGATCAGTAGTCTGTTTTTTAAAAAAATATGAAAAACAAAATGTTTTCATGCTTGAGAGATGATATTTGTGAAATTTACATTGCCTTAATTTCGAGTGGGATTCATAAAAACTCAAATTAAAGTCAGATATCGGTTAGACACCAGGAATCGAACCTACGCCTTGCGTCGCCGGTGCAATGATTCTGCATGAGCGACATGCAGAGATAACTCACAAGAACGAGCGTAGTTGGTGTGGATTTAGCAAGGTAATTCCCGGAAGTATAGGTGACAATAAATCACTGAATTAAGACTTTGTGCCACTTTACTTAATGAAGGCGTCCTAATTTTGAGTGGAAATAATACACACGTAGGTTCCTGACAACATCGTTTATTTCAGACGTTGACGAGTGTTCCCTGGGAACTCACAAATGTCACTCAAACGCCACCTGCAATAACACTATTGGCTCCTACGAATGTCACTGTCGCAGAGGATTTGCTGGAAATGGGAAAACATGTTCAGGCAAGATTAATTATTTTACATTACAAGTATTAACATGTCATACTTGTATAAGCTAAATATTTTATAGGCGTTATTATAGTTTTTTCTTTAGGCGCACAAGTTTCCAGAGGCACTTTTCAGTTAAAAAAACGGCAGCTAAAATTAAATCAAGCTAAAATGAATATATGCCTGGATCGTTTAATTGTTTTAGTTTGTTTTTCCTAAACGATTTGAAGTTTAGAATGTAGACATACAATGATTTGCGTTTTACACCACTGGGAATATTAAAACGTATTTTTCAGGTTTCCGCTGCGCTGACTTGTATGAAACGGGAAACAACCAAAGTGGAATTTATGAAATTAATCCTGATGGAAAGGGAAGTTTCAAAGTATTTTGTGATATGACAACATCAGGTGGAGGATGGACCGTATTTCAACGTCGTCTTGATGGAAGTGTTGACTTCTACCGAGGATGGCAAGATTACAAACAAGGTTTTGGTAACTTGAGCGGAGAATATTGGCTTGGTCTTGACAAGATACAAAGTATGACAAAAATTTCACAAAATGAACTTCGTATCGACATGGAAGATACATCTGGAAACACCAGTTACGCTCATTATGATTCATTTAATGTTAGCAGCGAAAATACAAAGTACAAGTTGAATGTTAGAGGTTATAATGGTAAGTATTTTACATTAAACTAAGTCATATTTGAATAAAATTAAAGGGGAGTCCAGCTCTCTTTACAATCAACTTTGCAGTGAACTATAAACCAGCATAATTATTATATTTTTCCATCTAGAAAAATTATCAATGAGTCAACGATATATATTTTCAGCGGATTCATGTATTAATGCGATTCAGCCAGGATGCAGCGAACAGACAAATTTAACGTTTTATTTGTAAACTATATCCGAGTTCGAAGTCGAGAAATATCGAACTTTTTTTATCATGCTTATTGCGCAATCAAAAACAGGCTACCGTGTCGCACCGTGGCTTAATTACGTGGCAAAAACTTGCCCTGTGATTGGTTTGCTACACTGCACCGTGCCCGAACGTTACTATATTTAGGAACAATTGCGCAATAATCTGCACGCTGATCGTCTCAACTAGTTGCTGTGATCGCTATAGCTTCCGAACATACTCGGCACAATTTCGGCAAGCTTTTGGCGAATTTTATAGTTCAGTGTTAACTGGATAATCATACTATGAAACAAGGAATAATAATTTGGAATTTGTTCCCACTTTTAGCAAGAATTGGTAATTATTAGACCACAATAACGAAAGATATTACTCAAATTATTTGCTTTAGACATATATTTGCTTAATTTTGGAGTGATTCAAAGAATTAATATGTACTTCTAAATAGTGTGTGAATATTAGATTGCATTTCTTCCAAAAAGATGAAACTGAAAAATTCTAGATGGGAAAATCTGAGCGTGGCCCGAGCCACGTTCGATACCGTCTAGATGCGCGCCTGGTAAACGCGGCAGAATGCGGTGGTAAAATGTAAAAGAATAGCTGCATGAAGAATAAAATAAAATTCAAACGTGTATATACAAGAGAAATAAGAGAATACTATGAAACTCGAGGTGATCTGCATGCAGTCCATATAATGGAGCACAAGGCTCCATATTATAATTCCCAACCTAATATTCTCAGTGTCTTAATATTCTTAGTTATATTGATACGCTTGATAATATTACAGCAACTCTTTACCATAGCATTTTCTGAAGGAGTGTTTCAGCCACGTCGTCGTCGGATAGATTTAATCAAATGAAAAATCTGTATTATCTTTTAACTTTGACTAACAATACAATTATATCCTGCGACTATGAGTAACCATCATGAAGCCTACGCATTTTCCAAACAGCATAACATTCTACTTGGATATCATAAAGATTACTGTTGAGTATCTGGGATAGAACAGTGAACATGCATAACATTTTCAAAATCACAACTTTAAATCACAAATTCACATGTGACCGTCAAATTTGAGCGACGACGTGAGTCACCTTACGTAGCATAATTATGTGTATTTAGATTTATTTGTAATTTCATTTGTAATTTAATTCACTTTAATTTATATATTTTTACATTAGGTACAGCAGGAGACTCGTTATCATTTCATAACGGTATGGCTTTCACCACCAAAGATTCTGACAATGATCATGATGGACACAACTGTGCAGTTCTATACAAAGGAGCCTGGTGGTATCGCAGTTGCCATGACTCCAATTTGAATGGTTTGTATCATTATGGCGCACACACATCGTACGCTGATGGAGTCAACTGGAAACATTGGAAAGGACAAAAATATTCTCTGAAATCAACATCGATGAAAATACGACCACGTGAATTTGGAAAGAGGAAATAAAGTTGTTTTATACATTCTCTATTTATTATTATTATTAGAAGTGTTACATATTGTAGCTGTGAAGCTGAATTACGTGCAAAATTAGATAAAAATATATAATATAACACACATAAAATAATTGAAATAGGAAAATATTTGCACCATGTAGTTAATTAGTTTAAAGAGAGCCTATTCATAATTTGCTCCATTAAAAACTCTAACCGATGACGGAATAAAAGTCTATTTGTTTTTGTTTTGTAGTCAGTGAAAGGGCGAATTTGTCTCAGACCATACTTTGTTTCCTGCTTGAGAGGCAAAAGATTCGTGAACTTGTGGTCGCGAGTGTTTACTAGCTATATGTCATTAAAAAGTTTTTTACATGCTTCTTCACGTTTTCAAGTTTTGCAAAACCGCTGATCTTCATAACTTAAATTAGGGTATATAACCAAAATCACACGTTTTTTCACTCGTTCAATAGCATTTGAGAGATAGCATTGTAATCCGTAGTAGTACATATGGCATGCAGTGGTGCAAACTCACCTGAGCGCAGTACAAACGTCGGTTGTACTTTCTTTCGTTTAGGCAGGTAGGTAGTTAGGTAGTTCGGTTGATAGGTAGGTAGGTAGGAGGAAGTAGGTAGGTAGGTAGGTAGGTAGGTAGTTCGGTTGGTAGGTAGGTAGGTAGGTAGGTATGTAGTTAGGTAGGTAGGTAGGTAGATAGGTAGTTAGGTAGGTAGGTAGGTTCGTAGGTAGTAGGTAGGTAGGTAGTTAGGTAGTTATGTAGTTAGGTAGGTAGGCAGGTAGTAGGTAGGTAGGTAGGTAGGTATTTAGGTAGGTATTTAGGTAGGTAGTTAGGTAGGCAAGTAGGTAGGTAGGTAGGTAGGTTGATAGTTAGGTAGGTAGGTAGGTATTTAGGTAGGTAGTTAGGTAGGCAGGTAGGTAGGTTGGTATGTAGGTAGGTAGGTGGGTAGGTAGGTAGGTAGGTAGGTAGGTAGGTAGGTAGGTAGGTAGGTAGGTAGGTAGGTAGTTAGGTAGTTAGGTAGGTAGGTAGGTAGGTAGGTAGATAGGTAGGTAGGTAGGTAGGTAGGTAGCTAGGTAGCTAGGTAGGTAGGTAAGTAGTTAGTTAGGTAGGTAGGTAGGTAGTTAGGTAGGTAGCTAGGTAGGCAGGTAAGTATTTAGGTAGGTAGGGAGTAGGTAGATAGGTAGTTAGGTAGTTAGGTAGGTATTTAGGTAGGTAGGTATATAGGTAGGTAGGTAGGTAGGTAGGTAGTTACGTATAGGTAGTTAAATAGTTAGATAATCCGTTTATTAAAATCATCTTGCAGCCATAGGGCTGAATTGCATGACTATGTATACAAAAATATCTTAACAGCTATTTACGAGATTATTAAACATTATAGGTTTTTCAATAACAATTAGTACACACCTTTAAAATATGAACTACTTATAAATTTATTAGACTAGATATTATAAATGTATCTCTAAATCAATTAGTACGGTATTTTGGAATGTTAAAAAGATTGTCGTTCCTAAGATTATATTTCGATGTCACCTTAAGAGGCAGTATAATTTAAGAAGTTTATGATCCATATCATTGAAATTAAGTTAAAAAGTTTATTGCATAGATCACCCCTTCGAACGTGTAAATTCTTTAGTCCCAGCATGACTAGGGCATCTTCATAGGATAGTTGACGATAAATGATACCTAGCGCTATCTGTTGTTTCCTTTCAATTTCTATTCATCTGACAAGTATTGTGGTAGACTGTAGTGGAGAACCTGACAGGAGGAAAGCTTTACCCTCTGTGATCTTCTTCTCAGAAAGTCTGTGATCCAATTCAAAGTTGATGGTTTAAGAACTATTTCTAAATGTTTGCATACAGATCATTATGGTCACTAAGATCAAACGCTTTTCGATATTCTGTAACCAATGATCGCACACATCCGCCCTCTTTGTCTACTGTTTCCGACCAAAGCAATAAAAGGCAATGTGGTACGTATTGGAGCCAGGTATAAAACCAAATTGGTTACAGTCTCGGCGATTCATTATTCTCGGTTGTAAATCGTGTTTAATAATGGCATTTTCAGCAATTTTACAGAGTGTTAAGGTAGGGGATATAGACCTAAGATCTTTATTAACAAAGATCACTAGCTTACCTTTCGGTATAGGGCAGTTATTTTCCTATTTCCAAGAAACAGGCACTTAATTTTCTTTAAAGGACGTATTTTTTTTATTATTGTTGATACATGCATTGCAAGATAACTGCAAACTTCCGCAGAATCCAATTGGGCAGACAATCGGGAACACTAGATTTTTCAGGTTTAACACGGTGGTTTAACACGGTTTAAATATGGGAAAATTTCCTCCTCCAACAAACAAATTGGGCTATCATTTTCGGTCATAATAGCGATGCAATCCGGCGGCAGGTGACAGTCATGCATAGGTTTTAAAAAACAGTCGTTTATCAAATTGCTAAGTGAATCGAGATCTTGTGTGTCCTGTTCCAAGTTTGCAAAGATGTTACTCGTCGACTTTTGTTGGTGACCACAGAGACGTTTCACTTCTTTCCACCAATATTTGGAATTATTACGTTTAATTTCTTTCACTTTAGCTTCATAATATAACTTTCGGAATTTTTTCCTGCATTGATTTACTTTATTCCGTAGCT